ATGCGATAGCCAAAAGTTTATCCACACAAAGAAACTAAATGTGTGTGTTTCCCTTTAGCTTCAGCCAAATTTTCAAACAAAGGAAACATTTTTGAATTTTCACAAGCCTCAATGACAATGCTTTTTTGAATTTATTATTGGGTTCTTCGCGTAATTTTGGTTAGCACGGATCCGGGAGAAAATGGCGGAAGAAGAAAAAATTGCGGCTCCTAAAACAATTGCAAAGGGGTGTTCATTCAGCAAATACAAATTCGAAAAAAAAAAAGTCCACCGACAATTGGCTGACACAAGAGAATGGAAAGACAATAGAACGTTTGAATCGGATTGTTTTGTCCTTTCGACGAGTGTCTATTGTTTTATAGCAGCATGAACTCGAATAAGGAATTCCGTGTAATCCACCTCTGCAGGCGCCAATCAGTTCAACCACGATCGAGGCATAAAAATGGTAGAGCACACGTGATCTGATTTTTTTTCAATTCTTCCAACCAGCCCATCACGATCGACCAAATTTTCCGGGAAACCAACCACAAACGATGATCCCTTTTTTTTTTTTTTGGTAGTTCAATAATGTTCTCGATTTGCACAGGGAAAGGTATAACTGACATAACGGTAAGCACGTAACGTACGTACGAGATTTCCTATATTTTCTCTTTGCAATCTGATCTTAACGTTGGCACGAGGCTCAGCGTGGACAATGTTTTTTTATCTTATAAAGGATGATGCGCACTTACATATGAGGTTACGCGAATTTCGTGGCATTCTGAGAATGTGAAGTGCCTTTTTAACTTTGACGGCCCTTTCAATCTGACTTGATTTTGCTGCCAAAAAGTTACAGTGTACGCAAATGAGGTCACGTATGTGTGCAGCATTTATATTAAAAGTGATACAGAGATGTTCACCTTGCAAAAAAAAGCATACATTTGAAACAAATATTTATGTTAATTCAATAGGTAATCTCGTTTTAATTGTGTCTCATTTTTCCTTCCACGAGTTTCACACGCAAACATCAAGGGGAACCTATCAAACGTGCTCTAATCGTTCTAACGTACGATACACACTGTACATACGCGCATAGCTTAAATTTCGTTCGGGTGTTCGCAAAAAATCCAAAAGTTGTCGTCGTCGACGAACGAAGTAGGCAAGCTGTTAAATTTCATGTGTCACGAGTTTTTTCCGGCCAATCATCGTCCCCACTTTTCTTCGTTCCTTCAAGATTTTCAGCATTACGACCACCATTACTACAAATAGTGCACAAATTACAAAAACGACTTATCCAAGAATTAGTATTTCTGACTGGTACAATACAAATTACAACTGTGACACTGCAGACTTCTTTTTTTAAAACCGATCATCCTTGTCTCTTAAAAAACTTTTCGTCCCTCAAAGTCGAAAGAAATCACCTCATTCCTTTCCCTCCTTTGTTCACGAAAAATATACATATTATTTTCTTTCGTTGAAAGCTCAGATCTTAACCGCTTATTTCTTTTTGAACAATGCAAGCCATCAAATGTGTTGTGGTTGGTGACGGGTAGGTAGAAAGAAAGAAGGGGTTTCTCGGCGGGCGACAATGTCTTGTAGTTTTTCATCTTTCAACGACGCAGCACAGCCAAGTGGACCTGTTTCACGGATCTGTTGCCAGTAAAATCGCAAAGTAAATAAAAAACGATGTCGGACCTTTTTTGACTTCAAAGTTTTTGATGGACCAGAGATTTCGTCGCTCAGAATAAAAAAAAAAAAAAAAAAAAAAAAAAAAAGAAAAAAATCAGACGCACGTAAATTGTGTTTCTCTCGTTTATCGCAATTGACTGCGATCGATGCGCATTAACAAGCAAGCCCCATCCACCGTTTTGTTTTTTTTTTTTAAAAAAAAAAAAAGAAAAGAAAAAAAATCTTTCTCAATTAATTAAACTGTCATCGTTCCGTAGTGCCGTCGGAAAGACTTGTCTTCTAATCAGCTATACCACCAATGCCTTTCCCGGGGAATACATTCCAACCGTGTGAGTATCATTGCACCCACTAAAATCGGTAAAAAAAAAAAAAAATTCTTGATGCTGACGTATGTTATTTTTAGTTTCGACAATTACTCCGCAAATGTGATGGTCGATGGAAAGCCGATTAACCTTGGTCTCTGGGATACCGCTGGTCAAGAGGATTACGATCGTTTGCGTCCTCTTTCGTACCCTCAGACAGATGTTTTCTTGATTTGCTTCTCCTTGGTCAGTCCTCCTTCCTTTGAAAACGTTCGGGGAAAGGTAAATCAAAATAAATGATTCTTTCGAGCTCCTCGTTCCCGATGCGTACGCTCACCGATGACCAATTCCTTGGTTACAGTGGTATCCGGAGATCACTCACCATGCCCCAAATATTCCCATCATCCTGGTCGGAACGAAACTTGATCTTCGCGAAGATAAAGAAACCATTATTAAGCTTCGTCAGAAAAATCAATCACCAATCACATACCCTCAAGGACTTCAAATGGCAAAAGATATTTCCGCCGTGAGATACCTTGAATGCTCCGCCCTTACCCAAAAGGGGTTGAAAAACGTATTTGATGAGGCCATCCGCGCTGTTCTTTGTCCCGCCCCCGTACCAAAACGCAAGAAGAATTGTGTGATTTTATAAAAAAAAAAAAAAAAAAGAGGAGCGGAAGATCAAAGAACATGCGTGAACACGAGGTCCTCTTAATTCATATTTTTCTTTTTCTTTTTATCTTAATCTGCATATCTTGTTTATATACAGTATATGGTTTGTTATTATGTGATATTAGTTTTTCGCATTATGTTGATGTTTTACATCAATTAGCATGTGAGATCAATTTGTTAAAAAATTTTATTTTAATCATTGACCATCACCGTTTCAAAATTTTGCTTGGCTGCTCATTGACTTGACAAGTTCAGATTCGACAAAAATGCAAAGTCGAGTGTAACGTTGACTAATATAATTTTATTAAAAGACCATTTTTATCTTGGAATTAAAATAGTCGAGAACCAGCCGGATGGTTTAAAAGGATCAAAATTTTATATCGTCAGTCCCTTTTTTGCGAGAATTAAGTTCCTCTATTTTATTATTTATTTATTTGCCTATTTTTTTTTTTTTTACTTTAATAATTTATGCCTTCGCATTATTTTTTACACGGTTGAAAGTTAGTTAATCATTAGGATAATTAAAGACCAAACGTCATGTAATTTTTATTTTTTTATTTTTTTTTTGTTTATTTTTTATTATTATTATTCGTGGCCGTCCCTAGTCCGGAATTCATAGCCAAATAAAGTATGCGCATAAATGTTTCCTTCACCATACCGCTCCCAGGAAAGTCACTAAATTAACTAGTGGACACGGATATCGAATTTCCCATTTATACATTGCTGTATTACCTGCGGTGATGACACTGTTCGAATTTCAAAAGTTACTTAACCGCCGCCACTCATCCTTCTAATGTCCACGATTTGTCGACGGATACACATGATTTCCCCTTCTGCCCCTATTACTTCCTCCGCCTCTATTTTGCCCACCGCGACGCTGATTTTCATTCAACGTTGGCGCCTCTTGGGGGTAGTCATTAGAATGTCGAGCTCCACCTCGACCACCATAATTCTGTCTCCTGCCTCGATCTCCATGATCTCTTCGTCCCCCGCGGCTGCTACTCTGGTTTTGCTGTCGCTGAGGGTTCTGTTGATCGGTTTGATTTGAATTATCGCGCCGACTCCTCGTTTGCGGCGGATCGTCATTAGACCGCGCATCATCACGAACGTTGGAAGTCTGACGACCATTACCCTTGATCTTGAAGGGCACAAATGGTGGTGGGCCTTCACCTCCCTCACCCTTCTCAGCATCATTCTTTTTGCGACCACGGGTGATGAATTGCTTCGAGATAAAATCGGTGATGATCGCAAGAATAAGATAAGATCAGTACGGGATATATTTTGCACCGACATCAATCCGAACTGTGACGCATACCCTTCCGACCTTCCATTCCCTTATCATCTCCTCCACCTCGCCACCCAAGTTCTTTAACAATCCCGGGCCAAGGTATAAAAAGTTATCTTGGAAGGTGATCTTCTTGGTGACCAGGAATTTGATACCCGGCGGTGACTTCAGACTAAAGATGAGAGATGGTTTCGCAGGGGAAAAATATTGTTAATACCTTTTGTACGCACTGATCTCTCGATCAAAAATGACCTACCTCACACCTTCGACTTCTCCCAGAATCTCTATTCCCTTGATCTTCTTTACCCCATCTGTGAATGTCAACTGAAATAATCTAGGCGTGGCTTGTTGGTCTTGAGCGGGAGTGGATAAATTGAGTACAGATAATAATTGTAAAACTAATGGTCCAGATATCGTTTTTTGCTTGGAAAGATCGCGCGGCAGAATCCCTCGACCAATACTTCGAAGGTCCGTCTAGTAACACGAATTTGAATAAGCAATGTACTTTTTCTACGCATCCGAACATAGTTTGAGGTTACGTTTAGAGCTTCTTTAATGACGACATCCAGACTTGATTGCTCAGTCTCGAGGCTTGCTTGTATGTCTGTAAGACCTTCTTCACTCAGGTACCTTTTTAAAGCCACATGATAGAAATATTAAGAACGAGAGCAAACGCAAACTATTCGCAGTCAATGCCACCTACCTACCAACCCTCGCTTTCCAACCGGCTTCGTAAATTCTCCATGTATCATATGAATGACATGAATAACGGAAAATCTTTCGATTTGATATCTTAGGTAAACCTCTGATTCCAATACGGTCACAAGATATCTGCTTTTATATAAATTTTAAATATGCCTGTTTTGTGAATGTCAATAAATCATTTTTGTAATTACTAAAAATCTAAAGTCTAACCCAAACACTTTAAATCCAATTTAGGAAACAATGTTTTATTTCTTCCTGGTATTTTGTACTTATTTATTTAAAAAAATACTTTAATTATTTAAGGAATTTTTTAAGAATTTGATTTTTTCATTAATATACTATATATCATATTTTTTATATCACATCAACAACTTTTTCCCGTAGATTCCTGACCACCACTTCCAAAAAAGCATTTTTCCAAAACTTTATGTTTTGAGAGTAATAAAACTTCAAAATTCTCCCTAAAAACATCTGCTTTGCTTGGCAGTAGTCATATTATACCCTTCTTATTTACCTTTTCTCTTTACAAATCCTTTACTTAAGAAGTTAATAGTAAGAAAGCTTATCTAGGAAGAAGAAACCAGAAGAAAAAGTATCCTCCCTCTCTTCCCTATGGAGATTTCAGAGTCTAGGAAGAAGTTTGAGCCAACAACTTCATGCCAGCCAGTAGGCAGACATCAATATCACAGCCAAAAATGGTTTCTCTCTCAGTGTGTAATAGTTTTCTTGGTTTTTTGAGGAAATTTTGCCTATTCTAACTTGATCCTGAATTTTTTATTATATTAGATTCTAGATGAATTGATTGGCTGAAGTCTGGAATTGGTTTTTTTTTTTTTTTTTTTTAACCTGCAGTCAGGTTAGCATGGTGTGTCTTTATTGTATATATGCTAGGTATTTACAAATTATT